TCGTGTTACCCAGGATAGAAATGTCCCCAGCCTGTACCATGTCCTCAGGGCATCTATCCCTCCTGGCTTCAGTCTCCCCAGAAGTTATTTCTAAGGTTCCTGTCTGGATTCTCTCGGTCCCCCCCAGCAGGAGATGGGACGGTGAGCAGAAACGAGAAGACTCCATTTCTGGAAAATGCTGAGCGAGCAGAGGGGAGGACAGGGAGGGGACCTTTCCCAGAAGCCCGTGCAGGGAGACACCTGTGGGACCCAGCTATCCCTCCTGGCTTCAGTCTCCCCAGAAGTTATTTCTAAGGTTCCTGTCTGGATTCTCTCGGTCCCCCCCAGCAGGAGATGGGACGGTGAGCAGAAACGAGAAGACTCCATTTCTGGAAAATGCTGAGCGAGCAGAGGGGAGGACAGGGAGGGGACCTTTCCCAGAAGCCCGTGCAGGGAGACACCTGTGGGACCCAGTCGGGGCAGCCCCAGGGTGGATCTCGATGTCTCAAGGAGGCCCCGCTCTGTCGGAGAACCCCTGGGGGCGGGGATCCAGGGGGAAGCCACAAGGGCCTCGTTTCCCTTCGTAAAGAGTGGAAAATCCAAGCCGTGCACCGCCTGCCGGAAACGCTTTGCTTATCCGTCGGAGCTGGCCCGGCACCATCGAATCCACACGGGCGACAGACCCTACGCATGCCGCCACCACGGGAAAAACTTCAGCCTGGCCTCTGCTCTGGCCAAGCACCAGAAAACTCACACAGGGGAGAGGCCCTACCCTTGCCCCACGGGTGAGAAAAGCTTCCGCCAGCGTTCCCACCTCGCGAGGCTCGCGGGAACCCGCCGGGACGAGAAACCTTTCCCGGGCCGGGACTGCGCCAAGCGTTTCAGCTGCCACTCTGGCCTGGAAACCCACCTGAAGATCCACATGGGGGAGAAACCGTACTCGTGCCGGCACTGCGGGAAACACTTCTCCCACCCGGCCTACCTCCATGGCCATCGGCGGATCCACACGGGGGAGAAACCGTACTCATTCCGTCACTGCGGGAAACACTTCTCCCACCCGTCCTACCTCCTTGGCCATCGGCGGATCCACACGGGGGAGAAACCGTACTCGTTCCGGCACTGCGGGAAACACTTCTCCCACCCGTCCTACCTCCTTGGCCATCGGCGGATCCACACGGGGGAGAAACCGTACTCATGCCAGCACTGTGGGAAATGCTTTATGCACCGCTCGAACCTGAGTACGCACCAGAGACTCCACACAGGCGCGTGACTTTACACTGCGGAGGACGGCAGGAGCAGTGTCCTGGCCGTGATCGGGCAGTAAAACCGGGACGGGAGACTGAGGATGATGGGTATCTTCCCCAGGAGAGACTATATCTTGCTCGGTTAAGTTCTAGTATTGTAGACCAGTGTTTCTCCACCTTTTTTAACGAAGTATTCCTTTAAAAAAAATTAGAAGTACCCCCAATACCTAGTGTTTAGACACACACGTTTTTTCCTACCGTAGCCACCCATTTGTTGAAACAACGTCCTCGTCGCCGGGCCGGCGATGATATTTTTAAGTGGAAAAAGTGCAAAAATAACAACACAAATTCAGGTTTCTCCAGATTTCAGTGGGGTGGATGTAACCTCCCAGATTTCTCTCGAGTATCCCTATGGGTATTCGGACCACTGGTTGAGAAACACTGGCCTAGGGAAATCGTTTTTCCTAATCTCCAATCTAGACCTCCCCCACTGCCTGCCCCTTATAACCCCCCTGCACCCGACCCCCACCAGTGCCAGCGTCCTGTTTCCAGAACCCCACTGCACCCAACCCCCCAGATCCGGCCCCTAATATTAGCCCTCTTCCCACTGCCCCCCCAGTGCCAGCCCTGCCCCCGTAGCTCCCCCATTACTACCTCCATCCCTACAACCACCCAGTGCCCACTCCCCTGGCTCTTAAAGCCTCCAACCCTCAGTGTCCCCCCCCAGCACTAATCCTGTGCCCGAAGACCCCCCCCCCAGTGCCTGCTACACCCCTCTTCCCTGACTCTCTGCTGCCTCCCAGCCACCAGCTGCCAAGGTCTCCCACCTGCAACCCAGCGGCTGGCTAGGAACCACTGACCCATCTCATCCCGGGTCCATGTCTGTCCAGGAGGTCCGGCGGGAGGTCTAGGTGGGAGATGAGGAAATACGATTTCCCTAGGCGGGCGGGGAAGCGCTGGGCTGGGTTCCCACGGGAGGGGGTGGAGTCTCCATCCCTAGAGGTGTGTCAGTCCCGGCTGGACCACGCCCTGGCTGGGATGGTTGAGTCGGGGTTGGTCTTGCTTTGGGTAGGAGGCCGGACTCGATGACTTCTGAGGTCTCTGCCCACCCTGGGGTCGCAGTGATGCCGGCTGGAGACTAGTCTCCCGAGGGGAAGAATACGAAGCCGTTTGGGTTTAGCGCGGACCGTGCGTCGCAGGTTTCGGATCGCGTGCGAGGTCACGAACGCCCCGCTTTTTGGAGCAGGTAAGAGGCGTTTGAAGTCAGAGTTCCCCATCCCTGAAAACCACGTCCCATCCTCCTACGTAACCTCCACAGGGGTGGATAAGCACATTGGAAAGGCGACTTTGGCCATGCTAAGGGCCGGGCATTTTTTTCTTTAAAAACCCGAGGGTTATTTACATGAGTTTATTTATGCCCTACCCCCTAGGAACCGCTACTCTGAGGGTCTAGAGCGCA